TCCTTCCTTCCTTCCTTCCTTCCTTCCTTCCTTCCTTCCTGTGCCTCCCTCTGATCTCCCACAAGCCAGCCTTCTGATTGTTCAGTGCAGTCTCTGCAAATAGACTTTTACTTCTCCAGACACTAGAGCACTCTCTAGGGGAGATCCCTGTGTCTAGAAAACAACGCTGCTTTGTAGAAAAGAATGAAATTCCACAGTGTTTCCTCCCAACAAATTTCTGAAAGCCATTTCGTGTGGACTCTGTGCATACAGTCCCCCATCCCTGCAGGTCAACTCAGCCCTGGAGAGTTTCTGACTATCTGGCTCCACCCTGCCTGCCCCAGGGTCATTCCTCCTCCTCTTCCTCCTCCTCTTCATCCTGCTCCTCCTCCTCCTCCTTTGCAAGATGACCACCATCTGGGCTCTAGGCCTGTCTCAGCAACTGCATTCCGGTCCCCATCCCTCCCCTCTCTTGGTTCCCACTCCCCTGACCCTTCAGAACAAGATCAGACAGGCTTTAGGAGCTGCTCTCCAAGGTCAGGGCAGGAAGTGCAGAGGAGAGTCTGCTGGAATCCAGACTCCCGTCAGAGACTTTTCTCACTGTGGACCGATCGCTCCCCTCACATTCTTCAGAGCCACTGGCCCTTTGCTTACTGCCCTCCCCAGGGCTACGCTGAAAGAATCCTCTCCTGTCCAGCCAAAAGCTATCCATCCGAAGCCCCAGCCTTGACCCGTCAGGTTGAGATTTCCCTATGATCCTCTCTGAGCAAGTTCCCTAACACCCTTTTCATGAGGATATGGTTTGGAGCCTTAGCCGTAATCAATTACACCTCCCCTCCTCCTCATGTGGAGGCTCTTCAGGAGGGTGGCTGCCTCCAGACCTAAATTTCCCAGACTCCCTTTAAGCTAAGGTCCTGAGAGGAAAAAAAAAAAAAAAGGCTGAAAGGCTCTGTGCTCAGTCCTTCCTTCCACAGCTAAGCTCCTAGACCAACAGGGCCTTGTCTTCCTCCTCCAGTGCTGGGCAGAACTTAGGCCTCTGGTTTACCTCAGCCTTCCCATGGATGTTAGAAGCCCTTCCTCCATGATGACGGGCTCTGAGTTGAATTGTCTCGATGCCACACCTCATGGGGACATCATTCCTTTTGACTCCTATGGCACTACCCAAGGTAGAATTCTCCAAGTGGAGCCTCTGCTGCCTTGGTGACCATTCTGTGGGTCTCCAAGAGGAGGGGCTTCTCACACCCTGCTATTACCTAGTCCCCCTTATGAGCTCAGTTTCAGCTGGTTCTACCCTCAGTTGTCAGAGTCTGGGGGTCAAAGGGAAGGACTTCAAAGGCTCCAGAGAGAGGACATCTCAGAGGAGCCCAGAAATAGAGGGAAGATGAGAAGAGGCTCTGCTGACTTAGTGGATATCACCTGACCTCATCCTGCAGCTGACCTCTGAGCACTTAGTTTCCCCAACGACAACCATTGCTGCCAGAAGGACCCAAGTCCCCTCCTTCCCTTTCATTGCATACATGGTCATAGGCCATGAGGCCCTGCCCTAGGCCTCTCCCTGCCCTTTGGTCAGGAGCTCCGAGGGAGCAGGGTTACCTGGTGTTCCTCCGGAGCTCCTCAGGCTGCACCAGGCCTCCTCATTCAGGTGCCTCAGCAGAGCGGACAGCAAGCAGGGAGGCAAGGTGAGCAGCTGCTTCCCCACAGACAACAGAGGTCCCTGGGAGGACATGACTCCCAGGCAAAGGTTAGGCAGCACTGGCTCACCAAGAGCTGTGGCACCACCATTTTCTGCAGAATCCCTCACAAACAGTCCCAACTTTGTCCAGCAATGGTGTCGTGTTGGTTGGATGCTGAATCCCTCTCCCGGGCATCAGTAAGGCCTGCCCTAGCTTTCTTCCCTTTCTTTCTAGTGATTCCCCTCCCAACAGTTCTGAGAATGTTGATAAGCTCAGGAGATGTCATCAGCTTTGGTGGCAGGAAGAGCCACATGACACCATCAAGCCACAGGAAGTCTGGGTGGCCAGTGGTGGTGGACTTCAGACTGACTGGGGGCCTCCCAGAGGCTGGGGCTCAGGCCCTGATCTTCCCCTCCACTAGAACAAGCTCCCAAGACCCCAATCCCTCTTTCTTACCACGAGCCTCTCTCTGGGCTGGAAGGAGATGGTGCTCTAACGAGGCTGGGTCTCCAATGCAGGTAAATGGAAGGAGATAAGAGGCAGGGAAGGCAGAGCCAGTGAGGGAGGGTAGGTACCACACTCATCTTCTTGGTGACAAAGCCTGCACAGCGGGGAAAGGCACTTGTCACCAAAGCCAAGCCTGGAGAATTGAGTTTGCTCGTCAGAGTCTATGTGGTGGAAGGAAAGAACTGACTCCCTCAAAAGGGGGTCCTCTGGCCCCCATGTGCACACTGTAGCACAGGAATGATCATCCAGGCGTACATGAATGTGTGTGCATACATACATACACACAAGCAATGTAATGTAATGTGTGTGTGTGTGTGTGTGTGTGTGTGTGTGTGTGTGTGTTCACACAGACTGAGAAGTTCTCAACTGACATGGCTTGTCACCAGTCAGTCATCAAAGCAATGATCACCGGGCTCCTCAGCTTGCTGTGGCATTTTGAAGAGCATCAGGTGGTCGTCAAGAGTTATCAAGAGGCCAACCTCTGCCTCTGTCCAGCTGTGTGTCTTTACCTAGCCGCCTGCCATCTCCAGGCCTCAGTCCCCATGGTGTCACTTGAGGTCATGAAGCAAGTACTCCTAAGGTTGCTTCCAGTTCCCAGAGTCTATTCAAATAGCTGAGGTGAGGGAGCTATAAGCTGCTTGTCTCTGCCCTCAGTGGCTGAGGGATTGGTCTTTAATGGGTTTCAGAGAGATCAGAAGGGATAGACAGACCACTGTGAGCATCGTGATGATTGACTTGCAGGCTGTCCCCTACCGCGTGTCTTTTCTCTCACCCACCAGCATTTCTGTGTACTTGCACATGTGCTTACTGCCTCCTGTGTCCCATAGTTCCTATTGTTATGGAACAGTTTCATGTGTACACACAGAGGCCCTTGTCTGGAAACAGTACACCTATGCCACCTCTAAACAGGTGTCCTCCCTTGCAAACCTAGCATGCAGATGAGGGCTATGTTCCCTGACTGTGGGAGACATGCAAATAGCAGATCACGAGCCCAGAAGAGCTGCTGACTCTTGTCTAGTTTGGGGCGTGGATTTTCCCCCCAGTTCTGAGAATTGAACTCAGGACCTTGGACATGCTAGACCTCGCTTTCTGTTGTCATTCCCTCTTTGTTCCTCAGGTGACCTGCCTTGAAAAGGAAAGTTCAGGTCCCAAGTGTCTCAGGTCTTGCTTGCTCAGGAGAGACCCACTAGCCAGGCGTTTCCTGTGTCTCCTTCATGCTAAGCAGTCACCTAGGTTGCAGATGTCACTGTGCGTAGTTGTGGGGCTGGGCAGCCACAGCCAGTAGCTGTGCAGGCAAGGGTGGCTGGAGCTTGTAGAAGGGAGGAAAGTATGGTGGAAAGAAACTGGGAGCACCTTATGCCCTGCCTCTTCTGCTTCTCCTGCTGGTCCCTCCTCACACACTGCCCAGGCTCCGGGAGCCCCAGGGAGCACAGGAAGGGAGTGTTCTGCACACAAGAGGGGGCGTATACACACACACACACACACACACCTGACAGTGCCCACAAGGACTACCTTTTCCTTTCTTGCATCTACCCAGGAACACTATTTTCTTCTAAAGGAGATCCCATGCGACCTCTAGTGGCCAGCAAACACCCTGCTGCCCGGGGTTATGGTGAGGGCAATTTAAATCTGGACATTTTAGGGAGGACTCCACATCTGCTCTGACCTCAAAGCCCAACCTGGAATTACGGCAGAGGCACGGCCCAAGCCCCACCTGCAGGGAGGTGGCAGAGACATTACATGGAGCTCCTGGCCTCTAGCCATTTGGGGAAATGCTGAAGAGTGATCCCAGGAAGACATGCTACAGCCCAAGCCGCAAGCCCCAGCCAGGTCCAAGGGCTCCTTATACTGGTGTTCCGGGCGCTCAGTCTTTAGATAGCAAAACCAGAAGATCATCTTTCCTTTCAGGACCACCCTCAAGCAAGCCCTGGGCCTCTAGCAACCCTAGACAATGGGCATCATGCCTGCCTCTAGCATCAGCTTTGCCTAGACAGTTTACCTAACTTGCCAAAGGTCACCCAGCAAGTGGGTGGGGGACCTGCAGCTGGAGCCCCACCCCCACCTTGCCTTCTCTCTAAATAATGCCTCTAACTCCAGAGCTCTGCCCAAGATCAGACTGCATTCTTCCCACACCTGGCTCTTTCATAAGCCCTGAAATGTCTACAAAGAGCAGAGCCCAGGGCTTAGGTAAGAAACCACCACACAGGAAGAACGCTCAGCATCGTGTGCCAAGCCTCTGGAGTCTCCAGATGAGTGCTGAGGACATGGGCTGGTGTGGGACTGGGGACTTAGGATGAGCAAGACCAGAGATCAGAGGGCATCCTGTTTTGGAAGACCCCTCATCTTTACAGGGCTGACACCAGAGTGCTGACCTATCTCTCCAAGAAGATTCTGCCTTCCAGAATGTGAGATGAACCCCTAGTAATCAGTAGGAGACTCATATCGACCCTGTGTGTGCAAGGAGTTATGGGGTGTCTTTCAGGACACTGTTCCTTCCTGCTTTAACCCTGAGGAGAGGCAGTCGTTTGGGTAGAAGTTGAAGGTCGGTTTTAGGATAACCCCTGGTCATGGGTTGGCCCCATGGCTACAAGAAACCAGCTCTGAAGTGGGTAAGCGTGTGAAGAGTGGGCGCCCGTGGTCCACACAGGGACTAAATCCTGGCTTCTGTGTTGCAGGCAGGACAAACTGAAGATCCACATGCGGAAGCACACGGGGGAGCGGCCCTACTTGTGCATTCACTGCAACGCCAAGTTCGTGCACAACTACGACCTCAAGAATCACATGCGCATCCACACGGGTGTGCGGCCCTACCAGTGCGAGTTCTGCTACAAGAGCTTCACGCGCTCTGACCACCTGCACCGCCACATCAAGCGGCAGAGCTGCCGCATGGCGCGACCCCGGCGTGGTCGCAAGCCTGCTGCCTGGAGGGCGGCCAGCCTGCTCTTCGGGCCGGGTGGCCCCTCACCCGACAAGGCGGCCTTCGTGATGCCACCTGCACTGGGCGACGTGGGTGGCCACCTGGGCAGCACGGCCATGTGCCTCCCGGGCCCCAGCCCCGCTAAGCACTTCCTGACCGCACCCAAGGGCACCCTGAGCCTGCAGGAGCTGGAACAGCAGTTCGAGGAGACGCAGATGAAGCTGTTCGGACGCGCGCAACTCGAGGCTGAGAGGAATGCGGGTGGCCTTCTGGCCCTGGCGCTGGCCGAGAACGTGGCTGCCACTCGGCCCTACTTCCCACTGCCCGACCCCTGGGCAGCTGGCTTGGCTGGCCTCCCTGGTCTCACCGGCCTCAACCATGTGGCCTCCATGTCTGAAGCCAACAACTAGGCTGGCCCTGGTCCACCCTAGTCCCAAACCCTGTCTTAAGTCCCTCTAAGGCCTGCCCTGCCCCACCCAGTGGACCTGAACTTTCTAGTTTGCAAACACAAAGGGAAAACGAAAGAAATATATACATTTTAGCTGAGATGCAATTTTCTTGGTCTTCGAGGGCAGCATCTCCTTTTGGCGGGTGTCTGAGCTAGACATCTCTTCCCTGAGGGTTTGGAACCCCCCACCTCTCCCCGGCTGCCTCTGGTTCACACAGAAATACACAGGTGTCAAGTCTCAGAATGCTCCACACTGGTGCCAGGAGCACATTGCTGCGGTACGGGATTGTGAGGAGGAAGCATTCTGCTGGGCTGGCCGGGAGGAGCCAGCATGAGGACTGTGTCCTGGCCAGGCACCTTGGTTGAGCCATTCTACCCTATGGGAGTGTCCATCCCAAAACTGCCTTCAGAGTCAGGTTCCAGCTCAGAGGTCCCGGATCCACTTGAGCAATGCTTCCGGGTCATGGGAAAAGACCATCCCTGATGGGCAGAAAGGCCTCCAGCAGCCAGGAGCTGACATGGAGTGAGCCCATTCTATATCGGCTTGACCTGTGACATTAGGAGGATCAACTCTCTGTGCCTCAGAGTCCCCTTGCTGTGAAAAGGGGTGGTAACTTACAGTCCCCTCCCCCACTTCCATACATATTCACACCTGTTCCTATGACAAGGGTATCTTGGAAGGTAGATGGTTAGCACCCCCAGAGTTACTGGGGAGACTCTATCTTGCTGGAGTTGGTTTCATCACCTCCATGTGGACATCAGCGTGTTAGCCTCCGAGAGAGATTCGGCAGAACTAGACAGGAACGACAGAATGAGAGAGAGAGAGAGAAGCTGGGCTTCGTGGCTTTCAATACCCACAGGTAGCTCCAGGAACCCCAAATTCTGCCACACTGTCAGGCCATTGCCATATCTAGACACCCCCTGGAAATGAGAGTCAGCATTGGCTCACTCCACACTCCCTCAATGTTCAGGCTCCTTTCGCTAACACTGGAGGAATGGATGGGTGTAACCACCACCGTCTGCCTGGCTCCCCACAACTCTGCAAATGGCACAGAACCTAGTTGTCCAGGGCTCAGCTATTTACTGCTTGAGTTGAGGTTGTGAGCCCAGGTCTGGGCTTTGCTGGGGACACCCTTCTACTATGTTTGAGCTCCTGATCACCCTTTCTGTATTTAACCAAAGGGCTCCCCATGCAAGGGTGGAGTCCCTTTGGTTGTGATGGGCTGTGTAGCAAGTCACACTCGGGCTGGCTCTGGGTTGGTAGTAACAAGACAACTTTGCTGGCCCATGCTTTCTTGAATTTACATTGGTTTCTTGAGGTCCCAGGAAGGAGAATCCACCTGCTTAGAAGGCCTAGGCTTGGAGTCCCAGAGCCCCAAGAGGAGACTCAGCTCTTCCCAGATCAATTGCCTTGGCTTCTTCATATACAAACAGAAACACAAACACAAAGACCAGAGAAGACAGTAGACTCTATCCCTCCTGAAGCTCCCAAGAGAGTCCCTGCCTGCCAATGCCACCAGACGACAGTCCAATAGGGAGGACCTTCCTCAGATCCCCTGTCCTCATCAGTCACCTGTTGGGCAGCTGCCTCCTAAATTCCTGTCTGTAGCTGAAGCAGACTGAGAACCAACAGAGGGACCCAGGGGAGGGCAGCGGTGTCAAGCTTCTGTTTTTATTTTGTAAAGGTAATGACTTCTTATAAACTCACTTTTTCAGATGACTGGCTATTTCTTTTTGTCGTTTGTTTTTTTTTCTGGGCTGCCGTTTGGAATTGTACATTGTAAAATATCCAAAGATGTTGAGTACTGTATGATCAAGCACTTGAAACAAATGGTTGGGGGGGAGGGGCGGCTGTGGGTTTTTTTAATTATGATTATTATTTTTTTGTTTTGTTTATGTTTCTGACTTCCCTATCTGTCTGTGGGAGACCTTTGGAATTTTTTCTATTTATAAAACTTTTTATGTGACGCCTCTATGTAAAAATGACACACATTGAAGTTTGCCTTAGTGATTCAAGGGACAATCTTCCATGACTTTGGTCGCACGCTGCATCCTGCCCAGAAATGCTCAGATAATTTTCTGGCCTATTTATTAAACAATATCAACTGACTTGATTAAATGATATTGAGAGTGGCCTTCTGTGTGACTACTAGAAGCCCATGGGACAGCTATAAGCCCAGCTACAGAAGTTCCTTGCTTAAAGTTAACACCGCTGGGCACAACAATTTTAATGTCAAAGACACCTTTACAAAACACAAACCTTTGACTCCATTAGTGTTTTTTATTAATATTTATTTTTATTATTATTATTTCTACGAGTTTTGCCTACACCTATGTCTGTGTACTATGTGCATGCCTGGTGCCCAAGGAAGCCAGAGTAGAGCACTAGAGTTAAAAATGGTGTGAGCCGCCATCTGGGTGTTCAGAATCAAATGTGGGTCCTCTGGACTTACTGCTAAACCATCTCTCCAGCCCAAGACCTTTGGCTCTAATTGCTTGAAGGATAGTGGGAGAGATTAGTTTTATTTTTTTGAGGAAGGGACTCACTACGTATCCCAGGCAAGCCTTGAACTCACCACCTTCTTGCCTCAGACTTCATACCTGAAGCATTTTGAGCAAAAGTGAGCTCTGATTGTCTACTGCCACGGCTCAGATTGACTTTCCACTTTCCATCCTCATTTCAGGGGCTGGGACAGGAGGGAAGGCCAGAACTCAACTCTTCATGGCATTTCGTGTGCACACCATACATACCATAACAGATGCAGCCTGCTCTGTGTGACAAGGACCGTCCTCAGGATGCTGACTGGGTAGTACATCTGGTCCTACCAGTTCCCTGACTGGGGCCCAGTAGCCTCCAGCCAGCCTTGCCACCATGCCAGACCCAGCTGGGGAGCCAGGCTCTCCCCCCCTTCACCCAAGCCTCTTCCAACCAGAGACTCTGACCCTGATGGAGAGAAGGAAATACACTTATCACTGAGTGAGGTCTCTCCTGTGCAGACCCAGAGCTCAGATTCTTGCAGTAAAGTTGTTGAGCTACATTGTGACAAACTGAGGCTTAACCCAGAGCACCCTCTCCACTCTTCATCCCTTTGTGGATGTGATAGGCCCTTTCTATATAGCAATTCCCAGTACAGGGCAAATAATCCAATTGGGGTAAAAATCCGGTCCAGGATTTGAACCCCATCTCCTCTGAGCTGTGTGTTCTCAGACTGATCACTTCCCCACTCTGGTTCTTGCCTGAATAGCCTCAACAAAGGACCCAATCTAGCCTTCCTGACAGGAGACAGAGAGCAAAAGAGCTAGCCTGACACATCCTTCCTGTGAGGAGAGAGGGCCTCTGAAGTCACCCAGTGTTTACGGTTCACACCTCTATACCCTGATGCATGTATACATTTATCTGAGCAGAGATAACATCCAGACTATTTGCCAGACAAAAGGTTTCCTTCTTCAGTTTCCAAGCGACATCAAAACAGCCCTTGGCTGCCATGCAGTGTTGGGAGATCAGTTCCTAGCTGAGGGCAGGAGCATAGGCTACATGTTCCCAGGAATTTGGGCATTCTGGATTATTCACTCTTCTTGGTTGAGCCCTTGTCTACTGAGGGATATAAATCGTGATGAGGAGGAGGAGGGATCAAAGCCCAGAAAGCCCCAACCTCTGACTGCTCCATGACTTCCTCCTGGAAGTAACATCTAGCCTGACCCTGTGAGAATTTCACAGAGCCCCACCAGGCTCAGGCTGCCCTGTTAGGCCTGATAGTCCCAGAGAGCTAGCCAGCGAGGTCTTCTGGGAGAGAAGAGAGCAGGAGGAGACCTCTGAGGACGAGCAAAGGAGCACTCACCTTCAACAGGAAAAGAAAGTTTAGGGACGACCCTGGGGCTGCGATGGATGGGGAGGGCTTAGCCAAGAGTTTGGCCAGCTTGGAGCCAGTAGGAAAGAGACCAGGTATCTAAAGAGAAGTTAACTTTCTAACATTGGAGTTACTCTGAGAGGCCCAAGGCTGCTCATGAGGAGCACACTCTGAACCTGGTACCAAGCGTTTCAGAGATGCTGGGGTGGAGAATTCAGCAGGGGAGGAGAAAGTATCAGTGTCCCTCCTGTCTCTTGCATCTGGTTTGTGAACTGCGATATCACATCTGCCTGTGACTCAGGAAGGACAGCTGCCACAGCTATACACGTGCAGAAGAAGCATTGGAACAATTTCACAAAACTACTTTCGCCCAGAGCTGCAGAGACATCCCTCTGCTCTACTGGTGCCCAAGTTGGGGCTGGAGAAAAGTGAGTGGCAAGGTGATGGGGGCCCATGTGCTGTCACCACGGTCACCAGGTCACCAGGGCTTTAACCATCCTCTCCTTCCCTTTTGCCCATTTTCCTCCTGGTTGTCCGTTCAGCTCACTACAGAGCAGGTAGGGGCACACCAGGGGCCAAGCAGGGGTCAGGTAGAGCTCGTGCTCCATGGAGAATGCAAGAGCTGAGCGGGAGGCTTCACGGCCATATGTTCCTTGGCCAGGAGGGTGTCTGGAGACTCTGTGGACAGTTTGCACCCTTTGCTCGCTGAGCAGTGGAAACAAGGATATTCTGGGACGGTTCTGCCGTGGTCAGTGGTCACTGATACCCCACTCCTAGTCCCCAGGCTCTCCTCCCCTCTACTCCAGGCCCCTCCTTGCTGAGACTGCTCCCACGATGTGGCAGCCTGCTGGAGGCACACACGCCAGCATAGCTCTCTAGCTCCCCCTGGCGGCTCTTGCTGGAGCTGCTCGTGCTCACAGGTGAAAACGAAAGGCGCTTTGGTCCTTCTAGCGCTCAGAGGATGCTGAAGACCAGTTGACAACCCAATTTCCATTCAAGGATGGAAGGGCACCCTGGTAAAACCATGCTCCTTTTCCTCATGACTATATCCTGGTGCAGAGGCTGCCAGGTGTCAGAGTGACCACTGATCTAAACCAAAAAATTAGCTCAAAACGGTTCTGGCCAAAATAGGACATCATAAAATAATAATAAACAAAAACCTGGCAACTGATCATTTTAACAACAGCCAGTCTTGCACAAAAACCCAGCCCCCGTGCATATGAACTCATACACACACTACCCACACACATATACAGTCTGGATCACCAAATGCCCTAGTTAGATTTCTATTTCTGTGATGAAGACCATGACCAAAAGCAACTTGGGGTGGAAGGGATTTACTTCAGTCCGTGAGAGAAGCCAAGCAGAAACCATGCAGGAACACTGCTTACTGGTTTGCTCCCTGTGGCTTAGCTCACCCTGCTTTTTACACAACCTTCCCTGGGATGGCGGCACCCACAGTGAGCAGGACCCTCCCACATCAAATTCTTAATCAAGAAAATGGACCGTAGGTTTCCCTACATGGTGATCTTAGGAAGGCGTTTTCTCAGTTTAGATTTCCTACTTCCGGATATGTTTAGGATCATGTCAATTTGACAAAATCCAGCTAGCATGCAGGAGAAGCCACGCCTAGGCTGCTTGTAACCATGGGGGACACAGCATGCATGAAGGGAGTGAGCACAGGCATTTCACTCACAAGTCACCTCGCTGGAATATTCATACCTGACATTCTTCATCTGTCTTTAGCCAGAAGCTCTGACCCAGAAGACAAAATCGAAAGGACAAGCCAATGGGTTTCTGGAATGAGGAAGGAAATCCAATTGAGTAGATTCGTGTTTGTCTAAAAATTACCAACTGAAGCATGAAATGACTGTCCAGGTGCCCTCTGGGTCTTGCATGAACTCACCTCCAACGCCATCTGGAGGCAGAAAAGAAGCTTAGCTTCATTTCCGTTACTTGTGACTCCAACTCAATACCATCCTATCTATAAATGGCATTCATTAGAGGAAATTAAATCTCTGGCAGGATTTTCACAGGGTCAGAGGGTCAGGCTGGTGGGGCTGCCAGGATCGCTTGTGTTACATACCACCTCCACACTGGAGGGGCGCCATGCCTGGATGGGTGTGCATAAGTGTTACAGTGACTGCAGGCACAGACCTTGTGTCATTCCTTGTACCAAGTCCTCCCACATGCAACAGTCACTGTCCCCAGCTGCTCAAGGGATCAGCAAAGAAGAGGGATGCAGAGGCAGCGTGCACAGGTGGCAGAACCCCTGGAGTACCAAATGCTCAGTACCTAATTGTTCTTCCCCCACCAGGCTTTAAGTCCTGTAGTATCCCCTCAGGGCGTGTTCACAGGGTGTGACGTCACACCTTGGTGTCTCCACAAACAAGCCAGCATCCTTGTGGAAATGACTTGAGTAGGATATACCTCTAGCTCATCCCTTGCACCCCTGTGGTCTGCTCCCAACATCCCCTTGCCTGAAAGCAGGTCTTGGCTAGTGGAATCGTCGCCTGAGTGAGCGCTGGTCACTTACAGGAAGCAGATGGCAGAAGAGGACCCTACAGACAGGTTTCTACAGGTTCCGATGGGTAACCATTTAGAAATCAAGATGTTCTGAACCTTGAAGCTTTCCCCCATGGCAAGGCAAAATTTAATTAAAGCCTCCAATTTTTTTTTTCTATATTTGGACATCAAAGATTGTCTGATCTCTGTAGTGAGACATATGTAACAAAGATTCCCACACAGTGCTGCATGTGGGGTCTGGGGACCTGTGGGGCCACTGTCTCTCCTCCATAGCCCCCATCACTTAAGGGCCTTAGGTACAAGAAAGGCAGACTGATTGGAAGAAGAAAAGGGATATATTTCT